ACCACTCTAGAAACCAATAGTAAAACTATTTGAACACAAACACAAAACGATTAAAACGTGTTGGGTAACTTTATTGTTAAATCACAATACTCTGTCTTTTTCATTATCCACAACAATAAATATGACACTCCGCAGAAACTGATCACAAGTTCACTAGCTCACAGTTCAAACATAAAATATATATATATATATATATATATATATGCTTACAGCAATATTTCTTATTTTTTCCACACAAAAATCTAAGTTAAAAATTCTAAGCTAACTTGCAATTAACTTTGCTAACAGCTGAATTTTATGCACTTCACTTAGCTGTTATTCAAACTATGTTTGAGTGGGCTTCTTAATTTGGCATTTAAAAACTCCAACAACTCAAACCAAGTAAAACAGGTTGGTAAATATAGCAATAAAATGCACTTATATTACAATCTATAGAAGCTGAAGACTTAAAATAGGCATATTTAAGAGGGAATCTACTAGTATATGTATATTCTAAAACATACCATTATTACCTGACTGCTGATAATGTTAAATAATTGACATGCCCCACTCAACCTTATTTAGGAAGCTACTTTTCCTAAGGATGTAGGCTAACATGTAACACATCTATGCCTATAGGCAACAATTATTCACTAATGAGAAATTTTCAGTTTTCATGGCAATGTAAACTATAATTGTGTTATTTACCCTAATGCACATATACTATACATTATAGGTCTAATAAAAATGCAAAAGATGCAAATTTTATTTCAAAAGGCATTCACTTCCAAATTTTTCCTTGTTTGTTTACACCATGGATCTTTGCTGTTTTCTAATAGATGAGACTATATATCTAATAGCTTAACATTAGTAGATGAACCTATAAAATGCAAAAATCACTCCATTTTAGTCTTCATGGGAAGAAGTATCTCCCTCATCTTCCACTTGGTTCCTATACACTCCCTTATATTCACTCTCATAAAAAAAAACTTGAATAGAAAAAAAATATATTTTTTATTGATGACTTCATGTTTGGATGAAATTTCCAAAAAAAAAGTACCAGTTTTTTTTTCCATTCCAATCATAAATTAACAAAGTGGCCAAGAGACATAACTAAATCAGAAAAAGGATCATTTAATAATACACTACACTCAAAACAGAAGTCAGAGAAGAACTTGCTCACTTTTATTGCAACACAAAGTCTATCTCATCGTCTAATAACACAGCCAAACTGTTTTTCTTATACTTACTATAACTCTCAAAGAAAGATTTGAAAATTATAAAGAACTTTGCACTATTCATTTCTTAGTTTACAGGAAATATAGTAAAGTAACAGGGAATATTTTTCCCACCCTTTACCTACCATTCCTGTTCCATTACAAGAAGGACACTTGACTGCTTCAGTTCCAGGTTCACAGCGTGAACCATTACACTTACTACAAGTGTCTGGAACATTAATTATAACATCCTTGTTGACTCCTCGAGATGCTTCTCGGAAAGTCAAATTCATAATGACCTAGTTTGCGACATAGAAAAAAAAATATATGTTTGAAAAAGATCATACAACAAAAATGGTGTTTATTTTTTAAACCTTTAATTTTTTGAAAGTAACTTTTTATGTTGTTTTATTTCTAATTTAATCTGGATTAAATTAAAACAAAGGACAAATTAACAATGTTCTGCAATCAATCCACCAAATAAAATTTATCACAACCAACCAACTAATAAATATTTTATTTTTAAGTTCCTAATTCTTTGTACAAGTCTGTGATAATTTAGAAGGGCTAAATACCTGAACCTATAGGTGATTCTCATGATGTAATGAACAAAGTAACTACTTTACATACTACAATTTATCAATAGCAAAAGTTTTTAAACTATGAAAAAAAATTACAAATCTAATACATACAGATTTCATTAGCAATACTAAATATCTGGTTAGAAATTAGCCTAGTAACTGAGTCTGAACAGCAAGGGGTAGAGAAGTATTTTCTCCATGTGCATTCATGCATTTTACTACACTGTCCTTTTTCTAAAGCTGATTCTGTAATACCATGGATAAAACTATCACTTAAGTTTCATGATACTTCAGTCACTTGCAAAATTTCCAATCATAACTTTCCAGGAACACAGCACTTTACCTGCTCAAGGCATTTGAGTGTTTCCCTGATTTGACCATGACCACATTTTTTTTTAACATGCCTGTCTGAGCTTGCAGACAAAAGAATAACTTCCACATAAAAGCAGAGGTACACACACACACACACATTTGCTATAGTTTAATCCTATCTCAATGGGTGTTCTTACGGTCAGGGATCAAAGGGCATGTCATCATGTTTGTAGATTTACATTCAAAATTCTACTGATCTATTATTTTATGAATGTACGTATTATCCAAATTTTAGTATTAGACATTAGTTAATTTCTTAATTTAAAAGTAAATATAAAAAAAAATCCTAAATATCAATTTTTGTGTGTCACATGGTATGTTGAATGCAGTTTTGGCTCAAATTAGATGTTTGTGACGTCTAAATACAAAGTGTATAGTTTCTTACAAATTAGAAACTCAAATTATCTATATTGACAAGCTAAAATATCAAATAAGAATCTACTATCTTTTCTATTTCCTGAAATATATTATTATATCTAGTAAATCAACCAAGATGGCCTTGCCCACTGCTTATATTTTTGGAAATACATGCAGTTACGTAGTAGAATTTCAAATGGTCTGAAATGGAGTCAATTGATAATTTAAATTTAGTAGTTAAAATGTACTTTGGATTCATCAGTTAAGTAAAAGCTGATATATAGTCAGTTTATGATATTTGCCAACATAATTGATACACACAGTTGTCTTTTATACAAATATGTTTTAATATACACATAACAATACAATTTACAATAACAGTTATTACAAACAATGATTTATATACAAAAGTTTCACAAACTTACAAGCATTATAAAGTCTTCTTTCTAGTTGGGAACTTCTTCAATATCTTATCGAAGGTACACGATGAGCAGTTGACGTATATTTAACAGTATAAGCTATGTATGTTTCTAAATAGAAATGTAATCTACACAAACGTTGATATTAAAATAAATATATAATAATAAATCCATCACAGTGATTATGTACATCTACTTCGCCTAATGACGTGTGTATAACAAATCGAAAACTCAGAATATTCCCCATGTTGTTTTCTCAGCATCTGCGAAGTGTTTACATGGGAAACCCATTCTTTTCATGGTAAAATCAAAGTGGTAAATCAAGAGATAATGGAGCTTGAAATATATTATTTTAGACCAAAATACAGCTTAGTTACTAAGCCTGATAAATTATAGTGGAATTTTGTGGTATTGATATAGTAATTTGATTTTTTGTTATTTCAAAATGCATACAAAAACCTAAAAATGCTTGCTCCAGTCTTTTATACTCCACTCAAATGCCCTTGGCAAATTCTGATTTGGAAATTTCTCCACCAACTTCAATGCACCTTCTATCTAGGTACTGTATATAAGCACCTAATTCAGATAATGTAATTACTTTTTCGTGACATAAACTGGCTTTTAGTGAGGAGGTAGGGCTGGAGAGTGTTAGCAGAGGTAAGTATTATTAGAAATACATTTTCAGTTTAGGAAAATGTTATCTTCCCAAACATACTTACCTCCACTGACACTATAGCTAGAAATCTACACTTAGAATGTGGAGAGGCCAGTGCAGGCATGAACCATACAGAAAGTGTCTCTATAGAAAAGGAGTGTACCAAGACAAAGATGGTACAAGAGTGGGAGAACCACACTACATCCAGAACAGGTATGCTCTTCACCTGGAACTCAGTTCCTATATCAAAGGTAGAATAGAATATGAGTAATTGTTAGTATAGGCCAGCCCCAACCAGATAATCGAGGTTCCACAACTCAGGGTTGGAATTAAGGTGGTTGTGGTACCTATATCCCATGTTGGTGGCTAGGGCTATTGGACCGCAAAGTTATATATATAGATACTTTTGATTGGATCCCAACCAAGGCGATGCGTTTTGCACCACCAGTATAACAATAAGAAAGTAAGCAACACCAAAGAGGACAAACTTTCTCCTAAATCTGAAGAAGTCCAAAAGGCAACACCCCAGGCTCAGAATGACCAGATTATGCATGCCTTACTCGAACAAAGGAACAGAACTCACCCAGTCTGGCATTATGAATATTCATCCTCACTCTCTAACCAAGTGGATAAGGAGTATTCCCCTTGCCCCTGGAATTATGGAGGGGATGTGGAACCTGTGCTCAACCAAGGACCTAAGATGGGACCACTTCGCATTCAGAATTATAAGGAGATATACAAAACCAACATTGAGAAGGGCCGTGCACCCACCAACCAGATAGCTTCGTATCAAATCTGAACATGAATTATGAGCTCCACTAATAAAATCTGGGGGGGGGGGGTGATACGCATTGGGAAGTCCTGAGGAACATTGCTCTGGAAACTGTGCAATAGGCGAATCAACTTTCCTACATTTTTAAAAGCAAACTAACCTGAAAATCGGCAGGAACAGGCAGGATCCCCTTTAGCTTTACTCACGATAGTCCATGAGTGGCAGTCCATAATTACAAGGTAATACCAGCCTTATGGAACACCCCATTTCGATAGAGCCTGTTGCAACCTGTAGTAATTATAGTGAAAGTGGTTGCTAGTGCAAGATTGAAAAAAGAAAGCATACCTTCCTAGGCAACACTTGCCACAGAGTGGGATCCAGTGAGAAATATAGGGACCCTGGAAATAAGAGAGTATATGATTGAAGAAAATACCTACGGTTAAAATCTAACAGATGTGGTCAAAATAGCTACAGGGGGTAGTCAAAAACCCTCAGAAGAGGAAACTGCCAGATCATGCAAGTAATGAGATAGGAAAGTAGTAGTAGTAGTCCACATACCAGCCTGCACAATGTCTTCCAGAGGGAAATTCAACTGGGTGGCTAATGACATAGAGATACCACAAATCTGGTGAGATGTGACACACAAAAGATTCCTCTCCTGTAACAATCCATTATAGGCCAAGTGAATCAATTTACAAAGCCACCTCGTTAGGGTAGTGGGAGATAAATCCCGGGAAATAGAAGGATTACAATGAATGAACACTTGATTCCTACTACCTCAAAATGAGTTAGTATGAGCCACATAATACTTAAGGGCCCTAACAGGACATAACAAACGATCAGGATCGGAGTGGTCATAAAGGTGAGAAATAGCTGGCAAATGGATTGTTGAGAAGGATCTTTCCCCTTCCCTGGCTGCCAGAGTCTTGGGAAGAAAAACCTATCAGGGTAAAGCAGGACAAATGTGGAATGATAAAAAGTCTGATGTACATGGATTGCAAACAACTCTGACGACACTCACAAGCCAACAACAACAAAAAATACAATTTAAGTGAAAGGTGAAACAAAGAACACAAAGCTAAGGGCTCAAAGGGGAGGATGAGACAATGCATGTCAAACAACTGTAAAATCTCAATTTGATAATTGAAAAGGTTGTTTGGGTCAAAGAATACGAAAGGATTTGAGTAGGCCTGATAGTACTAACGATTCAAAAACCTTCTGATATTTAGAATACCAAAAAATAGTGCATAAGGATGCTACCGAAAACAAAGCAAGACCCCCCTCTTAAATACCCAAGTCATAAAATAGGATATGATAGATACTTTAGGATGAAGAGGGTTTACATTCTTTCTAATACACCACTGACAATAAGTATTCCACATAACTTCCAAGCATGAAAATCGAGTTTCTGAACATCTGGGTGGAGAATGTCTGATCGAGGTTGTCTCAACAGAGACTGCCAATGTGGAAGAGGTAGAGGTAGACATTCCTGCAGATACCGAAGAAGTGGAAACCACATTTAAGCTGGCCAATATGGTGCAACCAAGAGAACTCGATGGGAAGTGGAACGAAGCATAGTCAGAACCTGGGGCAACAGCTGAATCGGGGGAAAGGCATACAGATGTAAACCTGTCCAGTTCTGATTGAACGCATCTACTACCAACGTTTGAGGATAAGGTATCAGAGACCAAAAGAACTGCAGTTGAGAATTGCAATAAGATGCAAAGGCATCGACTGTTGGAGACCAAAACTGAGAGCAAATCCACTGAAAAACCTCGTGATGTAGCATCCATTCTGTCGGAAGAATCCTGTTGAGTCGAGGCAAGCGATCTGCAATTAAATTCATCACTCCTGGAACATGACATGCTAAAGACTTATACGATGGGAATGAGCCCAGTAGAGAAGATCCAACTTACGAAAATAAAGGTCTCAAGAATATGTGCCTCTTGATGAGAAATCTGGGATACCACAGTGGAATTGTCGGAATGTATCATGACAATTTTTCCCTTCAAGAGAAACAGACCTCGAACCATTGCCCAGTGCACTGCAAGGAGTTCAAGAACATTGATATGGAGGGTAGACTCGTCTTCTGTCCAAATACCCTAGAACTCCTGAACTTGAAGATAAGCTCCCCATCTCTGAA